CTGCTGGACAAGCTGTCCCTATTTCTCTCTGGTTCCCTGTCACATAGGGCATTGTTTCCTCATCTTTGACTTTCGGTTTATTAACCCTCTTTCAGGTTGAGTGTATTTCCTATTCGGAGCATCTTGATGGTTCCTGCCTCCTAATCTACTCTGTGTTTCTTTTTGTTAGTGTATCAAGGCTATCTATATTAGACATTATAGCCCACCTTCCCTGCCTCATCTCTGCTACTCTGTTTCTCTGCTATTATTTGTCCACTTTTCTCCTTCATTCCACTGTGTGTCCCATTCATTGAGACCTCTCTGCCACTGTTGCTAGAATCCTGGTATTTTTTTCTCTATCTCTCTAGAATGTCCTTCAGTATTTTTTGAAGGGTTGAATTGATGGCCATGAACTCTCACACTTGCTCTTTGTCTTGGAAACATCTTGTTTCTCCATTAATTTTGAGATAGAGTTTTGCAGAGTACATCAGTCTGAGTTGGAGGTTATTTTCTTTCAGTGCTTGGAATACTTCACTTCAAGATCATCTTGATTTGATAGTTTGTGTTAAGAAGTTTGTCGTGATTTCGATGGGTTTTCCATTATAGGTGATCTGTTTCTTTTCTCTGATAGCTTTTAATATTCTCTTCTTATGATGACTTTCTGGGATCTTGATTACTATATGTCTGGATGTAGATCTGTTTTATTGTAGCTGGCTGGAGATCTATATGCCTTATTTATCTGGATACCATTTCCTTTTCCTATTCTTGGGAAGTTTTCCTTAATTATTTCCATGAATAGCCTTTGTATTTCATTTGTGGTTACTCCTGCTTCTTTGCTCATGTTTTTTCTTCTTAAGTTACAGATTCTCTAGTCATCTTCTAGTCTTTGTATTGTTACTTATTGATTCCTTGTTGTTTTTAAGAGATCTTGCCTTTCCAGATCACATATTGCAAGTCTATCTTCAAGTTTTAAAAGTCTAACTTTACTTTCTGTCAAGGCATTTTGCCAGCTTTCAATGAAGTTTTTAATTTCCTGGTAATCTCTTTGGATCTGTTTCATGTATTCTGGATTTTGTTTATATTCTTCATCAAAGGTTTCTCTCCTTTTTCTGGGTTCCTCCATTCTCCTATCTGTATCTTCTTGAGATGTGCTTAGCATTTCTTTCACTATTCTTATTATCTTACCTCACTTGAATTAGAATTTCAGTTTTAATTTTATCTATGAATCATGAAGGTATTTTTGTCCACTGATGCTATAGCCGATATTGCATGATTGCTGCCTTTGATCTGTTCTGTAGTTACCTCTCCTGGACTAATTTTCCCTGGATCAGCAGCTCGAGGCTTTTCCTTGTTTCTCTTTCTTGCCATGTTTCTGGTTTCTTTCAGACAGTTGTATGGTAGAGGTCTCAGGCCCTTTCCGTATTGCTTACAGTTTTTATGAAGCATGCTGGCTAGGGGATTGCTGCCCTCTCCAGTATACTGTTGATCTGTGAGGTGCACATAGTGAGACGTGGACTGGCCCTTCTCCTATGAGCCAGTCAAACCGCGAGTGTCTTCAGGACATTAATCTGTGCCATGTGGACAGAAGTCACAGATGTCATCCCTGATTGTTTCCTCCCTGGACAGCTTCCTCTCTGGTTGTTGGGTCTCGACCAGGGGCATGACTCAGCCCAAGTAGTTCCCACCAGTCCTCTTTGGGCCAGGGGCACCAAGTGACACCACTGTGGTTCTGGGTTCAGGCTTGTCTGGCTCACCTCCAATATGTGGTCCAGTGGGTCACTCCCTCTGTGAAATGCAATTCCTAGCGCTTACCACCGGTTATTGTAGCTCTCCACATTGATTTAACTCTCTGCTGTGCTGTATCCTCCCGCCAAGGGCCTTGGGCTCACCTACCCCTGATTTTGGCATTTTGGCAACCACGACTTCAGCCAACCATGAGTCATCTGAATCCAAAGCGCGCCCAGCCCAACGAGGGACCAGCTCCAGTGAGAGTGCATCTGGTTCCCACCTTTCATCCATGTTTTTCCTACCTTTCTTACTTCTTTTTTCTTTTTCGTTTTTCTCTTTCTTTTTCCTTTTTCGTTTTTCTCTTTCTTTTTCCTCAGTTTCTTCCTGGATCATGAGCATCCCTCTCCTTTCATCTGGTCTTCTCCATGGTGTTTTTCTCAGAGAGGCTCTCTACCTTTCTACCTATCAATCCACCATCTTACCCAAATTTCCCCTGCCCTAAATTCAAAGACACAATCCAAAAATGGACATCTGAGATCAGTACGCACTTCTGAGATAAAGAAATACAAATGACAAATAAATGAAAAAATGTTCAATATTATTGGTCATTCAAGAAATGCAAATTAAAACAACACTGACTTTGCATCCCACACCAGAAAGAATGGTTATCACCAAGAAATCAAACAATAACAAATGCTGGCAGGGTTGTGAGGAAAAAGGAAACCCTCTCCATTATTGTTGGGAGTGTAAACTGATGCAAGCACTATGAAATCAATGTGCAGATTCCTCAAAAAATTAGGATTATAGGTCCCATTCAATCCGACTAATCCCCTTCTGGGTATTTTCCCAAAAGAACTGAAAACATCATATCACAGATCCATGTACACTCACGTTATGGCACCATAATTTGTAATAGCTAAATCTTAGAAACAACCAAAATGTCCACCAACCAAAGAATGGATTTTTTAAAAGGTGGAGATTTATACTCAACCATAAACAAGGATAGTCTCAAGGTTTTTATAGGTAAATGGATACAATGTCCAAAAGAAACAGAAACAAGAAAGTGACCATGAGAAACCTCCAGGTGACAGTACAACTGGCATTCCTGCCTGTGACCAAGGTATTTCTAATTGAGAAATTCCTTCCTGCATATTTTGTCCTCCTAGAAATATGACTATTTGTTGACAGGATAGTTAACGACTCTCTTCAACCATGTTGGCTTCTATGGAAATACCTAGGTTTGCAGGGTCTGAAGTACTCAGGTCTTCTAACATAAAAGAGAAAGAGTGCGAAGATGAAGATAGTGAAAAAGAAGAGCCCAAGAAGGAATGGGACATCATGCAAGCAGCTCATCTTGCTAAAGTCTAATGACTCATCTATGCTAAGGAGAAAGTGACGTTCAGCACATATGAATATCATTTATCTTTGTCATTGAATTAGGATATGTTTGCAATGCATAACAATTTTATAATTTTTTTGAAAATTGCAATGGAAACCCCAGGAACCATATTCATAAACCAAATTTATGTATCCCATAAAGCTCCCACCTAAACCAAAAGGCAGTGCAGCTCCATACACACCCCTCCTCCCTGAAACCTACCTTGGTTAATTCTGAAGCCCCTCTGGCATCTTGGTCTTTTTCCAACAAAGTCAAGTGACCATGAATGTGGGTATCAGTCTCATGGGCACAGGGAAAGCGAACTTTCTTCTGGGACATGAGGCTGTTACCAGGGAATGTCCTTTCTTCCTCAAGCAAAGAAAGAATGCCAGCTTTCTACTGGTGGAGGACAGCACAGTGTGGGAAGGAGCAGTGGTCCTTCTGCCAGCTCAGCCCTTCAGAGAGAATCTCTTCCCCTCACAGATATTATTAGATGGCACAACGGTTCATTCCTTGCTCACCTCTAAACTTTCCTTATGCTTTTCCCTTGTAGGCACTTACTCTCTTTTCTATGAATTCATCATCAATCCTAAGCCTCTGTCTGAACAAGAACAGTGCAAAGTCCAAAGTCAGCTGGATATCAGAAAATTTTTTGTTTCCTATGACTGTGTTAACACCAAGGCAATTCCTCCAGTGTCTTTAGAGGGAAGCTGAATAGCACCAAGTCCTGGAAATACCAGTTAGTAACACTACAGTATGTGGCCATGGACCCACAAGCTCCTAAGACATCTGTGGCAGCTGTGGGATAAAGTTCTTCTGGGCACTCTTGGGGACCCATCTTCTCTGCCTCTACAGAACTGAGTCACAATCAATGAGAGGTGGCTCATTGGGATCTGTGTCTGGTCCCTGGTCACCTCCCAGCACTGGAGGTCTCTGAATGGGTAAAAACAGATCATAAACCAAGAGCCAGGAACCAAGAACCCGGTATCCTCTCACCTCTATAGGTGACCATTTCCCACATGGACACACAGGCGGGCATGGCAGCCTAAGAATTTATTTCAATTGCATTGACCTGGTGATAAGATGCTGGCCTGCATGGACACTGAATGAAGATGGAAATGTCCAAAAGAAGCAGAAAACAGAAAGTGGACATCATTAGAAGCCCCCACAACTGGCATTTCCAGCCTTGGGCCAAGGATTTTATAACTGAGAAATTGTTTCCTGTGCTTTTCTTCTACTGGAAATATCATTATTTGTTGACAGGATAGCTTAGGACTCTTCAAACACGTTGGCTTCCAAGGAGACTGCTTGTGGGGTCTCAAATACTTAGGTCTTCCACGAAAAAGAGAAAGTGTCCAACCATGAAGACACTAAAACAGAAGGGCCCAAGAAGGAGTGGAAAGAGAAAGTGTCCAACCATGAAGACACTAAAACAGAAGGGCCCAAGAAGGAGTGGCACTAAGCTTGTCTTGCTAAACAAGTCTGATGACTCATTTATGCTAAGCAGAAAGTGAAGTTCAGCACCTACAGTTATCAGTTATTTCTTTTTTCATTTCATGAGTGTACCTTTGAAATGCATAAAAAGCACATAACTGTTTTAAAACTGCAGCCAGACTCTTATTCAAATTGGGCAGTGTTAAACAGAAAAATCAGGACTTGTTCAGTATATTGATGTTCATATCAAAGACAACAACTGGTTGTCTCCCAAGACAAGCCAAAAACCAAATGCCTGGCATGCACGGTGCCCCCTGCCTATAATACCAGCATTCCGGAGGCCTAGGCAGGAGAATTTCCAGGAATTCCAGCTGCAGACATCAAATCTAGCCACTGAAATTCAGAGCAAGTAACTAGGCCCGCCCCTTACGCAACCACAAAGCGAAACCAAGCCGCGAATGAATGAGTCTCTGGAAACTAGCGGAAGAACTTTTTTTTTCTAACGCCGCACACTTAGGTGAGTTGAGCGCAGGCGCGAGGCTGACTCCTATGAAGCTCCTTGTTCAGCTGTTCCGTTGGTTGTGTTGAGTCCAGAAGAACAGAGTTTGAAGCACACGAGGGCTGCAGCGCGGAAATCGGCCCAAGGTACAGCAGGGGAGCAGGGAGAGGGCGGCGGGGAGAGGGCGGCGGGCTGGTGCTCCCCTCCGCCGCCACCGAGCCGCTGGACGGGGGCGACCCCGCCGACCGCCAGGTCCGCGCCCAGGAACCCTGAAACCGTGCGGGGCTGGGGAGCGCAGAGAGGACCCGCGGAAGGCAGATTCCCCAACCCCGGAGTCCCCGGATCTCTGCAACTTCGGGGAGGCGCGGGCGGAGTGTCCGCAGGTGGCGCCCAAGCGGAGTGTCCGCAGGTGGCGCCCAAGCGGAGTGTCCGCAGGTGGCGCCGCAAGCGGAGTGTCCGCAGGTGGCGCCGCGGTCCCAGCGCTGCTTTGAGGGCTCCGCCTCGGGACCCCTCTGCCTTCCTTGTCCCCACAGGACCCATGGACCGGGCCGCTATGTCCGATTTCCTCCTCGCGGTCCTGGCCGGGCTGCTGAAGCTGTCAGAGCCTCTCCAGGCAGCAGGTGCCGGTGAGTCACTGCGCGCTGCGCTGCGCCACCTACAGATTCCTTTCCTGGGGACCAGGTCACTTCAGCCCTGCTCCCCACCCCACACCAGGGCCGCAGAAGGGGTGGAAATCACAGGAAGCAGGGGAATGGAGAGGTTGCAGGGCAAAGCCTAAGAGGAGGCTGTCAGTCCAGTGACCAGCGGGCTGCCAGTCAGAGATCTAAACTCCTGGAAAGTGCAGCCTCTATTCCGGGATGGGAAGCTAACCCAGAAGGCTTCAGGGAGCCCAGGCCACCTCCTGTCTGTGACAGACTCTCTCCATCCATAGTTCTCCACAATCTTTGCCAGCAGATCACAGGCCAGGCGCCCCCACGGAATCACCAGCCCAGTCCACCACCCACTTCCCTCCTGAGTCACCCACTGCCCTGGTGCGCCCTGCCCACGTGCCCAGGCTCCAGGTACCTCAGGTCTCCCTCTGCCTGAGGACACAGTCCAGCAACACATCCCTTCTCCCAGACAGGATCTAAAGTGTTGAGACCAGAGGAGCTCTTGTGATTTCCCTAGGGAAGGACCACAGGGGACTACAAAACACAGAGGAGGGGAAGGTTGGGGTCAGGTGGAGCCCTAACTCTGGATGGGAGGAAAGGAACTGCCCCCTCACTGTAGGAGACTTATTTACACATTTAGCAACTTAACATTACCTGACACCCCCTTGTCCTAGCAACTGGGTTTACAGATTGTCTTGGGGCTCCGTGTTCACTGGGCTGAAGCAGATTCTTTACATGGCTTAGTCACCCAACAGCCATGCCCCAGCCAGCCCTGCATCTGTGCTCAATGTCCAGCCTTCAGGCTCCCTACACGAAGGCAGCAGGTATGGGCACTCTGTGCCCAGGAGGACACTGGCAGGGGTGTAGGCAGGGGCATCTAGAGACTTCTGCCTTTGAGCCCAGACCCCTGGCCTTCCTTTTGGGAGGAGAGCACAGGAAGAGGGTTATTAATTAGACAGGAATCCATCACTTTTCTCTCAAGTCCTTTCAGCTTCGCAGGCCACACAGCTCTCTCTGAGTGCCAGCTTTAGTGTGAAGCTGTAGAGGGCGTGTCAGTGAACTGGAATCAGACTTTATCACTTCCTGGGTTTTCTTGCTGATGAATCACTTATCGCACTAATTTTCTACTCTCTAATGGTCATCTCTGTCTCACTATGCTGATGTTGGTTTGGTGTTGTTTTTTTTTTTCTTTGCTCAACATTATTTGTCTACTTGACATATAAGTGTCCTCCTGACTTCCTATGAAGAAGAGTGCACAGGACATTTTTCTGGTGTTCATGTTACATCCACTCTGAACTTACTGATCTTTCCTCTGATGCATTTCCTGGATATTCTAGTTTTCTTTTTCTAATTTTTATTTTTATTCCATTCAGCATGGGGAATAGCTGCTAGTACATAACATGTTTTATTGTTTCTGTGGCATGCAGCACAGGTTACAGCTTCCCAAGCTAACAGAAGCCTCTCTCCTACCACAGTGATGCCCCCTCACAGCAGTCCATGGAAACCCCATGAACCATAATCATAAACTGAACCTCTGTGTCACTCCTGACTCCCACTCTCACCCCAAAATTCAGTGCAGCTCCATATAATCCCCATCTCCCTGAAGCCCACCTGGGTTGCTTCTGAAGCCCCTCTGCCCTCTGGGTCTTTCGTCCCACCAGGTCAAGTGGTCATGAATGGGAGTATCAGTCCCATGGGCACAGGGAATGCAAACCTTCTTCTGGGACATGCAGCTGCCACCAGGGAATGTCCTTTCCTCCTCAAGCAAGGATACAATACCAGCTTTCTACTGGTGGAGGACAGCACAGTGTGGGAAGGAGCAGTGGGCCTTCTGCCAGCTCAGCCCTTCAGAGAGAGTCTCTTCCCCTCAGATATTATTAGATGACAGATTGGTGCATTCCTTGCTCACCTCTAATCTTTCCTTATGCTTTTCCCTAACAGGCACTCACTCTCTTTTCTATGAATTCATCACCACTCCTAAGTCCCTGCCTGGACAGCAGCAGTGCAAAATCCAAGGTCAGCTGGATCAGAAGATCTTTCTTTCCTATGACTGTGTTGGTGCCAAGGCCAACACATCAATGGGTGTCCTTGGAGGGAAGCTGAATAGCACCAAGTCCTGGAATGACCAGTTAAAAACACTGGAGGATTTGGCCACAGAGTTTAGAAAGCTGTTGTGGGACATTAAACTAGAGGACTTTGCATCCACAGGTAAGTTGGAATACTCCAAGACAATGAGAGAGGTGCTAGGGCTTTGGGGATATTTACCATATTCCTTGGGTTAAAGAAAACAACTGGAGGTTGGTCTCATCAAGGTTGGATGTGGAGGAAGAACACGGGAAGATTAGTAGATCACATGAGGTGGGTATTGGGTGGGGGCCAAGGATTTCTCAAGAAGGGAGGTTAATCTCTTTCCCTGGGGCAGATCCCCATTTCTTCATGGTCAGGATGACCTGTCTCCAGAAAGCTGATGGAAACATCCTCGGATTCTGGGACTTTGGATGCAATGGAAAATTTTTTCTCCATTTTCACTCAAACAATAAAACATGGGAAGACCTCCTTTCTGGATTCAGCTCCATGAAGGAGAAGTTGAAGAATGACATGGAGCTGAGTGAGTTGTTATACAGGACATCACTGGTCGACTGTGGAAGTCGGTTAAAGGAATTCCTGGAGCATTCAGAGGAAAATCTTGAGACCACAGGTAACTGGGAAGAACATGAGGAAGGTGTTGCTCCCTTCAGATAAGATGCTCCCATGTGCCTATGTGTGTCTGCTTGTGTTCCTGTGTGTGTGTACCTGTGTGTGTGTAAATTTTTCATCTAGAATGATCAGGAATGATTGCTCCCTGGGAAATGGTGCCATGTGTATTCTTCCCATCTTTTCCCTTCTCATCTCCTAACATCGCCTGCGCACTGCACATAGCTTTGATGCATTCACCATGGGTTTCTTGCTGACCTCCACACTGAGGACACCATTCTCTCTCCAGGATTCCCTTGGCATCATTCTTCTCTCATCTCACCTGGCCTCTTTCTCTTTCAAAACCACCTCACAGGTGAGCTCCTGAGACCATTCCCTACCACTCTGATCAGGAATCACTTCCTCTTCTGTCACCAGCTAGGATGGGTTACATTGTGACCCTGGCTGCTTGCCTAAATATGTCACTAACTCCAACGACCTCCTTCTCTTTCTTTACCCTCCTCAGGACCTGTCACAGTGGCTGCCACATAGCACAGGGGTAGAAGCTGTCTGCATGGCTGGGTGGGCTGAGGTAGCTGGAGCTGAGGGGGCATCTCCTCAGATATGGGGTCCTGACAAATGCTGATTCTCTCCTGTTTCTATCCCAGCACCACCCACCACCCCAGCAGGATCTGAATCCACTTTAATGGCCGCCCTACCGAGCTGCTTGGTCCCAGTGCTACTCTCATGTGTGATTTTTCTCTTTTTAAAAAAAAACTAAATTACGTTATATGATAAAATGTTCAAGGCTGCGGTTTAGCTCAGCCGCATAAGTGTTTGCCTGGCAAGTACGAGGTCCTGAGTTTCATCTACCAGAAAAAAAAAAAGAAAACATGTTTACAATCATTGGTCGTTGGAGAAATTCAGTTAAAACAATCATTGAGGATCCATCTCAACCCAGAAAGAATGCCCAGGATTAAGAAACAACCAATAACAAATGCTGGAGAAGCTGTGAGGAAAAAGATTTCTTCTGTACTGCTAGTGGCAGTGTAGACTGGTACAGCCACTGTGGAAATCAGTGTGGAGATTCCTAACAAAACTGGGATTGGAAGTCCCATTTGTTCCAGCTATCCCACTTCTGGGCATATTCCCAAAAGAACTGAAAACATCATACCACAGTGATATATGTGCACCCATGTTTATAGCAGCACAATTTGTAATAGCCACATTTTGGAAACAACCCAAATGCTCATCAACTGAGGGATGGATAAAAAGGATGTGGTATTTTTATGTAATAGAGTACTACCCAGCTATAAAGAAGGATCACATTGAGGCTTTTATAGGCTTTTCAGATTATACTTGTTAGTAAAATAAACCAACTCACATATGTAAAATCCATGCTGTCTCCCTGATGTAAGAAAGTGGAAGAATAAATAAGATCCAAACTCTTCAATAAATATTGTGAACGGATAAGAAACTGCTCAAAGGGGAAAAATAACTGGGACAGGGAAAAGGAGGAAAGAAGGAAGGGAAAAGAAAAATGATGTCAATTTCTATATAAACCCTTAACGTAGCTAAGATGATTGTATTATTCTATCAGTTCTAGGAACAAAACAGTTAACATTCATGGCATTAGATCAATTTTGCACGTCTGTCTCGGGGAATCTGAGTAACACTTTTGAAGACAACAGTGAAAAATAACAGCCTTTGTTAAGTTCCTACCACGTATTTTGAAAGCTTATATTGTTAATGCTGGGTTTTTTATTATCATTGTTTGTCTCTTTGGTTTCTTGTTTTTCATGCATTTTATTTTATTTTATTTTTTCCTCTTTAAAATAAAAAAAATTATTTAATTGTCTTTCCAACAACATATTCTCTTCTGACATTTAAATAAAGATCTTTATTTTGAAACAAATATCTCAATTAGTCTGGAATTGTATTTTATGATCTGTGTGCATAATTTCATGTGACTACCTGAATGCCTGATAGGTAAAAATACAGTATTTCTAGGTAAGTTTTGGAAAAGTTTCCTGAAAGATCTCATTCAAATTACCAGACCGAAAGACTGCTCTCCACAGTGTAGAGAAACCAGCATGCACAGAGAAATCACAAGCAAAGTAGAGCAGAGGGGAATTCATTCTGCTTCACCACACCCATGCATTTGCATTCCTCCCCTTCACATTGTCATGGTTTGTGTCAGTTCTCACACCCCAGATCTCATGCAAGCATGGACACAGCTGAATAAAGCCTGTGTGATTGGTTCCTTGCCCAGCACTCCATTTGGTGCTGTGAGTACCACACCTGCTCAGGCGTGGAGCCAACATAAAGTTTAATGGCGGGAGAAGACATGTCTTCTCTCTCACCAGCTCCTGTTTGCTGTTTGTCATGGCCCACAATACCACCCTGTCAATTGGAGCCACCTGAGTATGCACTGAAACCTCCAAAATTGAAGAAATAAACCTTTCCTTCCCTAACTTTGGGCCTCAGGTATCAACAATGAGAGACAAAAATAACCAAGACAGATTTTGAATGTTCTCTACCCAAGACTTCCCAAGTCAGACCATAACTTACAACCTTGCCCCCAAGTCTCAAGATTTTGCCAGCAGACAGGATTATACCACTGGCTTTCTTGGTTCCTAAGCCTGTAGACAACATATTGGAAGATTCCTGTTCTGGCTATAAGATGAAATCAGTGTGAGAATTGTGCTTTTTCCTTCACGGGAAGAGGCAGAGTGTGGACCAGGTAGAGGCTTAATAGATGTTGAAAGGAACAGGGAGGGTGAAACAGTCAAAGAGAGGTGGAGAGGCTGGAGACAAAATACACCCTCCAGAGATACACCCCATTCATTCATGTCTACCACCTGGGCTGCACCTCTAGTCCTATCGTACATGAATTTCATACAAGTCTTACCAGTTGCACTTTGGGGAGAAGGATTCCCCCAGAAACTGAGAAGGGAACAGCTCCATGGGAAAAAGCCAGGGCTCAGCATCTCTTGAGGAAAGCTCTGAAAAAATAAAATGCAGTTTGTGTTTTCCATCTTATCATCATACTTCCTATGAATGCCTAGGAATGCATTCCTCTGAGGATAAACTATCAGGACTCTCACCTGGAAAAATGGACCCATGTTTCTATTTTATACTGTGGGGCAAGTTAGATGCCTGTAGAAAGAGGTGTGTGTGGGCGAACCAGTCAAGGAATATCAGCAGGAGATGACAGCTGGGTAACACTTGAGTACTCTGAGTTACCAGGTTTAATGTGTGTAAAGCAATGAGGAATGTGTGTTATTTACCGAAAGTGCTCAGTTCATGTTTACCATCTTAATCTTCGAAGCATCCTCATGAAACACTCAGTGACTTCCCTAAATGAAGAAAAACTTGATGGGGGAGGGGAAAACCCAGAGCCCTGCTGTGCTCACAGAGATCACTTACCATGTACCAGTGTGCTACTCTCAGCTCCAGACCTGCCCTTCCCTGGCCTATCAATGAGGCTGCTCTTTCTTGTGAACACTTTCCTCCTGGCCAGCGCTTTGTCAGCCGAAATGACTACCAGCCAGCCATGGGGGAAGGTGGGAACATGCTCCCCAAGTCTTGCCTCACAAACACGCTCCTTCCTGCACTTTTAGACCCTATTAAGGATTTTTATTCCTGATATCTTGTCATGAGGAATTTCCTAGATTCTACAAACAGCTACTGAGCTTTTCCTACTGAGTTCAGCTGATAAAGCACCCTAGTTACCTTTGTTTCTCACTCAGAGGCCCAGGCTGTCATCTCTCCTAGAAAGACTGATCCCAAGGCCTGAGCATGGAGCTCTTCCAGACTTACTCCTCCTGAGTATTCTCCTTCAACCTTGGAGACAGAGTCTGTTCCCTTATAGGTTACCTACCAATTCCTAGAGCTCTCTTGTCCTCTCAGCATGTACTCACTAGTGTGTAGTTAATCATCTTCATATTCACTGCTACTTCTTCACATTACTATATGACTTGAGTATCCTGAATAAAACTCTGTTAACATCCCCTCCAGATCACCATCATACGACCTTGGTATGGCCAGTGAGCAACTTCCTGTGTGAATGCCCACTGCTGATCTAGACTTCACCATCTTCTCTCAAGCTGTGTCAGCAGAACTATCTAATATTCTCAGACTAGTCTAACATCACAAACATGAGATGATTCAATCAGGTAAGAATTATTTGCTCTAGGGCCAGGGATTCAGCTCTGAGGCACAGCACCTGCCTGGCAAGTGAAAGCAATGAGTTTGATTTCCAAGTTAAAAAATTCCTCTGCATATATAACAGAAGGAGTTAATTGTGGTGCCTGATAAATGTCTGCCTTGGAGATCTCTTAACTGATCATGAAACACTGATTCACGTACCTTTCCAGGATTCATATCAAGTCAACTGCGTTCATCTCTACAAACTCCTCAAATAGGAAGAGCTCTCCCCATGAGTGGGACACTTGACAATATTTGGAGGCAATTTTTCATGCCCCTACTGGGTAGGGGTGTGCTATCATGTCAATTGGATCCTGTTTGAGGCCCCAAATAGTCTGCAATGCACAAGACAAGCTGCAGCAACAAAAAAACATTCGCCCCAAATACTGCTAAACAAATTTTGGGAATTTGGACCAGCTGGTGCCTGTGTCCATCCTTTGAACACTGTGCCTCACTCTACAACACACGGTCCATACACATAACAGGACTCTGACAGTGGTTCAGATTTCTAGTCCACACATGTATCACACCTTGCAACAGGATCCACTTGCACCAGGACTCTGGAATCAGTGAGGGCACTTCTTACCCTCATCTTCCCGCCTTGGACAGCCACATCCCCATTACTGAATTAATGTCACACTTTAAAGCTTAGATTCACCCCTCATGGGGAAAGCTACAATTTTTTTCTGTAGCACATCACAGTTTAGTTCTTACTCTCAAAAAGAATGTACCGCAAATTCATCAGCGTTAGAGGGCAGAATCCTAGCAAAAAAATATCTTCAAGATCTGGTTTGAATCCATTCTGAAGGCAGCCCATTGCTTTTAGGTCACAGTGTGGGGGGGAGCAAAACATGAGGAGACAGCACACACAGTGAAAGACAGAGAGAGAGAGAGAGAGAGAGAGAGAGAGAGAGAGAGAGAGAGAGATCCTGCAATACCTTTAAATGCTTTCTCTAGGATGGAAATGAGACCACTTTTGTTTCCAATCCTGACTACAGGGTTCTGAGAAGTAGGAGGGATCAGACATACTTGATGAACCACAAACATCTTCGCCATAGCCTACCACTAAGATGTTCAGAAGCCTGGGTGCTGGTGCACTCCTGTAATCCCAGCACTCCGGAGCCTGAGGCAGGAGCATCTTGGGAGCAGAACCTGGGTGTTCAGGGCTCCTGCCAGCAGCACCAAGGCCACTGGGCCCTCCCGCGGGCTGTGAAGAGGCACCAGGGCATTCCGAGCTCCTGCGAGCCCGAGCCCGGCTCCGGTTCTTCCGAATCCACAGAGAGCAACTCTTGGTTCGCACAAGCTGTGAAGACAAACCTACCCAAGGTCAGACAGAGCTGCGACCCGAGGAGCTGGGAGAGGGCGGCAGGAGCTGTGGGCAGGTGCCCTCCTGTTCTGCCACCGAGCCGCTGGACGGAGGCGACCGCGCCGACCTCCAGTCCCGCCCAGGAACCCTGCAACTGTGCCCGGCTGGGTAGAGCGCGGAGAGGACCCGCTGAACCCTGAGTCCCCAACCCCGGAGTCAGGGGATACTCTGCAACTTTGGTGAGGCTCAGGGGGAGTACCCGCAGGTGGCGCCGCCCCTTACAGCCCTGCTTTGAGGGCTCCCCCTGGCGACCCCTCTGTCTTCCCTGTGCCCACAGGACCCAAAGAGGCAGCCTGGAAGTCTGATTTCCTCCTCTGGGTCCTGGACGCGAAATTGTACCCCACAGGCTCTAAAAAAGTGAAGTTTCCAAAACTAGAGTTAGGTTGGGAGTTCAAAGAGAAAAGCACAAAGAAAAGAAAGCAAATAGTGGGGGCTGCCAGTGCCCTCACAACACACACTGAGCTATGTCTATACACAGGCCCTTCCTTCAAAGTGCTTGTTTAAGTTGCCCAGGCTGGGCCCCAATCTGCAGTGTTCCAGGCTCGGCCTCCCCATGTGCACCCCCATAGCAAACTGACACCAAAAATATAAATAGAATACTAAACATTTTGCAATAATTTATGAACCAAGCACATAAGTATTCTAGAGGCTTAGCTATCAACACACAATAAAGCAGCTTCAGCTGAAGGCATTATCTATACACATATAAATGGATAGATATATGTGAAACTTTCTTTACATGCTACATACTTTAGCTAGTTGTGTGGTTAGATATAATAATCAAATTTAGATGACACGATTAGGAAACTACAAATTGAAGTTCATAGACTAAGCACAGATGTTTTAAAAAGATCAGTGATTATAAAGAGTACTGCTAGATAACTCAAAGTTAACAGGATAAAGGGTACAAAAACTTTTCAGAATCCTTATTAATCGCAAAATACTAGAATTTGCTTGAAATGCTTCCACTCCTAGGGGAAAGAAAAAGTATTAGGATGTGTTATGTACATGTACCAACTCTCCTCGTTATGAATATAATCGGTGTATACTTCAATAACATACTAATGGAATAGAATCATTTAAAAATAAATAAGATTCTCTTCTAAAGGGTATCAAAGTTTATTCACGTAATTTTCTAATACTAAGTATTAAAATCTACTGAGCGCATAGTGCTTAAGTACAAGTAGATGTCTGGGATTTGGGGGCTCATCCATGCTGTCCTTGTTCACTTGAAAAAGCACAAACATGCCAGGATTTCCTAAGGAGAAAAAACTGCTACACTGCCTCTTCAGTAGGATGGGCAATCATCAAAGATGCACCTCTCAGTTAGCCCAAGTAAT